GGAAGAAATAAAACCCCTGCCCAGGAGCTTTGCTGAGGCCCAAGCTGCAGGAGGTGGCTTTGGCCAATTTACTGAGAGAGGTAAATGAATGGGAATATTCTCCAGCTTGCAAAGGCTTTGCCACAGGAATCCCTTATGGATCTGGAGTGTTTTGGCAGCATACAGAGTCTTCAATCCATATACATACACACAGCAGATGGCTGTGCCTGTGCATTCAAGGCATCTTTCAAAACTGCTGCTGTGATGTGACTTTAAACTGATGGTTTCCATGCTCCTGTGCCCTGGTGTGGTGGGTCCTGCCTGTATAATGGGATTATCTGGGGAAGGCTGAGACAATGGAAAATGAAAAAGCAGTTTTGCTTAAATACAACAGAATACTTACCTGGAAAGAGAAGCGATTCTGCTACTATCAACAAGGTCAGGCCTGTGTACCAGTAATGTGTCAAGTGCAGGACTGTGGTCTTCTGGTTTAATTTTGTTTGAAGCTTTTAAAATCACGGCCCTTCCTCTCCTTGGCAGCTGTAGAGTTGCACAGCTCCACTGACTGCCACAGATCTGTGCTGGTTTGAGTCATTTGGATGTTGTTTTGCTGCTGAAGGTGATGGTGAGTGCTATGGAAGCACCAAGAGTGCTATGACGCTCAGCAAGGATGGCAGCCCTGGAAAGCAGCCTTGTCCTCTGCCTTGCTGCCTGACTTTGCTCTGCACAGCATGGGCTGGCATGCATAGCTTCCTTGAAAAGATTTATTGGTTTCCCTCTAAATAGGGATGAAGGCACTTTGGTGCACTGCTGATCGCACTGCTAATCGCAGTTTGGGTGAGGACTGGTCTCTGTTTGCTTGGCTTTTCTTAAGTTACCATTCAAAGAATTCACCATTTCAGAGGAGGAGCAGAGACTGGCATAAAGCCCATGGGACTGCCCTTCTTTTCTGTATGCAAGTTGCTTACTATTCCTATACATTTTGTCACTTGGATTATACATAATCTGAAATCAAAGGCAAGCAAAATCAGGATGGTAAATACATTACCATAAGCAAAACATACAGAATATTTGTGTTCTTTCAGTTAGCCATTCTGCACAAGGTATTTCAACAGAGTAATTTCTCTACTTCAGTTAATCTGTGTAACTGTATTAGCAGATGTTGAACTAATGATTGCTAATGATGGGTAAATTACTGTTCAACCTGGTGAATCCCACATGTTTTTGTTACCTATTAAGGTTTATCTGTTGAATATTCCTCTACAGGGGACGAAGAGAACTGGCCCTTCAGGTCCAGGTAACCAACTATCTTGTGTCTATTACTAGCAGAGGTTATGATCTACTTAAAGTCTGACTTATTCCAAATGTCACTTCCAGATGATCCAAAGAGAAGTGCTTACAGATGCCTGAGTTGAGCAGAACAGCCAGCGAAAGGGTATTACATACATCCGTCTCATCAGGAAGTTTTGTCACATTGCCAAAACCCCAAAACATCTGAGTTGCCAAACCCGGTTTCTCTCATCCTCTAAATCAGTTCAGTATGCTGTGCAGAAAGGCAGCATGAACAGCAGTGTCCTTGAAGGAGCTAGTATGGTTCACTTATGTTTAATTGAGAATAATGAACCAGGCGTTCAGCATGTACTGGGAAACACAAAACGCATCGCTGCTGCTGTGGGGCCAGACCTGTGACTGGTGGAGCAGAACCACATGTTGCCTGCAGCACTTTCCTCTTCTGGAGCTGCTTGATGTCCCACTCTCTTCCTTGCATGTCATCCTTGGGCCACAGTAGGGCTAAGTGTTTGTGCCCCAAACCTTTCCCTACCCCATCCCACACCGCATCATTGCTGACCCTAATCCCACCTCCCAGTGACTCAGCCCTTTTGCAGGGCAGCTGCTCCTGCCTGCCTCCCCCTCCAAGCCTGACCTTGCATACACCCAGATGCACTTCACTGTTGCATTTCATTTTATATGCTTATTTGGAGTCACAAAAAGCATAAGTGGAAAAATAGCTGCTGTAACAAGTTACCTGACTTGTCCTTTTCTGTGTGGCTTGGCTGCCACCCCAGCATGCCAGAGCAGTGCTCAGTAGTCCCCAAGCCTCCCAAGCTCTCACATCTGGTCGACTGTCAACTGGAGCAGAAGCCAGCCATTTACAGAGGAACGGTGCATGTGGGAAATGTTTGCATGTGGTAATGTGCTCAATGGCTCTCAGTATAAGTACTGAAAAATGCAAAACACCCTGGAAAAACTGCTGGCCTTTGGTACTTAACTCTTTGGAGATCATGTAACAAGCAGCTAAAACTGTAATAACTTGTTTAAAAGTGCATTTGTATCCTCTTTTGCTGTTTACTTAAGAAAGAAGTTAAATCTGACTTCCCAGCCTTGTTTAGGAAATCTCTGTAGACTTTTCTTGTTGGTATAAGAGATATTGATATTTACTTCACTCTTTCTATTCTATTTCAGGTTTAATATCCTAGAATTTATTAATTTACCATTTGTGTCATTAAAAAGTTATCAGTTTTCAGGTCCTAGCAAGGATTAATCCATCAAGACCCTGCTTCAGAGACATATTTTCACTGGGACTTGCTGCATTAATCTTCCAAATCACATGTTGTATATGAGCATCATTTTAGTGACATTTATCTCAGGTGTCTCTTCTTTGCAATATGAAAGTGGTCCAGACTTGTGCCACCAAGGAAGGGTGACAGAAAAGTGATGCTAACATCTCCGCAGGTAATGTCTGACAACAAGGTAGATGATGGCTGGAACATTCACAGTGAGCTGTGGGAGAGGGCTGCCCAGGCTTGAGGCAGTATTCCCACCTCGTTCATTACAGGGCAGTGACAGTGGGGGCACTGGAAGCACAGAGGTTATGTCAGAACCAAAACGCTTATGAGAATTTCAAGGCCTAAATAGAAAATGGATTTGGGTACATAATCTTTATGCATAAACATGTGTACAAGAATGTGTATTATAAAAGCACATTATAAATTCCAGTGTACTTACAGGGTGTATATACCCTTAACATCTTCAGCCTTAGTCTTCTGTGTGAAAATGCACAAGCTCCTCCGTGAACTTCTGCTGATCTTTGGTCCTTCTTCTAGCAATCAAGTACATTGTTTAATTTTTGTGGACAGTGTGCACATCACTGACAGGCGCCTCATAAACATAGCTAAATCCATCCTGGCAGGCTTCACCTCTAATTTTGCAATGTGGTTTTCTGTGTGAGATGACCTAAGTTTTTTCCTGTTCTGACAAAAGCATTCAGCATGATTCAGGTTTATTCTCCTGTCAATTGTACATGTTGTGCATCCAAAATGTCTCTGGAGAGCCGTACAGTGCTCATGAAGCAGCAGGTGAGATGCTTTAATCTGAGATTCCTGTTGCAGAGATGGTGCAATCAGTCTATCTGACTTCTCAAGACCTATGAGTGGGTTTTTTCCCCTCTATCATGAGGAGTGACTCACTGACTTGCAACTTCCCTGAACTTCTCTGCAGAAGCAGCCTGCTTATCTGTGATACTTGCCCTGCTCCTGGTTCTCTCGCTGTTGGAAGCAAGTTGTTGAAGAGGTGCTGCAGTTTTGGTCTCAGTCTCTTGGTGCTCATAGAGCCAAAGGTTTTACTGGATTTTTTAATGTGTTTTGCTTTCCTCCCTGTGTGCGTGGTCTCCTTCTACAAGCTTGGAAAGCAGAAGCATTCAGAAACAGCTGGAGCTGCTGGGTGAGAGGAAAACTGTATCAGCAGTTGATTTGAATGGGAGTAACAGAGCTGCTGTTGGAAGGTCAAGGCTGCGGTATGTCATGTCTAACTGGCCTGTTTACCTTCTATAGTTCCTTCAGAATGTTTCTTCACTGCTTTTATTTTTTCTTAATGGAAAATCTGGGGGTGGTTCTTTCCTTTCTGCTTGTAATCTCTGGGTTTAGTTAAACCCACAAAAATGCTGAGAGGAATTGCTTAATCCCACTGAAGTCTGTCATCATCTTTCTGCTCAAAATAAATTTTTGTTTGATTTTTCAGGAAACTGTCATGTAAAGTGTTTTTGGGGCCATGGCAGAAGATAATATCTGTATGTCTCATGGGAAGATTTTTAATAAGTACAACTAACATATTCTACACATTCAGTTCTTAGTGGTAGGTCCAGGAAAGGTCCTAGGGTCAGGCTGAGCAGGCTTCGTGTGCTACACTCAAGCTAGCACAGGTTTCACCGTACATGACTACTAAGAGTACATACCAGTAAAGGGTTTGCTTTCTGCTGTGTTTTGCTTTTATATGTCAAAGATCTCACTCTTAGTGCAAAGCTCAACTTCCAGGCTTTATGGCATTGCTGCAGCCTGCTCCAAAGGAGATACTTCCTGTGCTCTCCCGTGTTACTTCTTCTAATATCACCTTTCATTGAACATACATGCTGTGCTCTGGGTGGTTACAGGTTTGGCAACCTGTCCATGCACTTGGTGGGACAAGGTCTGTAGCAGAACAAAATAGATTCATAGATGTATATAGGCCCTGGCTTCCCAGAGGGGTTATCAGTAAGAACCCTTTTTTGGCCAGAACATCCATGGCTTAGCATCCATCATTGATCTCTGAAAGTTGTCATCATACCTGTCAAAAGTTCAAGTTTTCTACAGTTTACAAGTTTCCTAAAGTGCTGTATAAACAGCCTTTTAATTAGATCCTTCTTTAAAGTTTGTTGATTTATTGAAAGGACAATCTCTATTATCTGAGTAAGCACTATATCTCCTTCCCTTTACCTTCCGTCCTTCCAAAAGATCTGCTTGTAACTATGGCAGGTGTTTGTGTTCAATTTAACACTTCAATAAGAACAGTAAGATGATCTTGTACATAGTGCTTATGTCCTTATGGATGTATTTCAGACTCATGGCTGACACTGAACTGAACTTGCTGTTGAACTCTGCAACAGCCTGAAAACATCTGGACTCTTGCTGCAAAAGCAGCAAAACTCTGTTTTTCTGTTGTTTTTTGTTTGTTTGAGATACTCATGTGCTTTTGTATTACAGGTTTCCTGTGTTTTTTTCCAGGTTGAAGCTTTAGTGATGAAAAGGCAACACAGTATAGCATTCCAGGCTGGCAAGACACCTCTTGAATGGAAAGCCTGCATCTCTTGGTGTCAGATGCTGTACAGAAGATTGCTTAAGCTGAGCTAGCTGGGAAGTTACCCTCGCAGTTTCCTGAGAGAAATAATGTGGTTTCAGTAAAAGGTAGTGTTTCTTTTTTTAGAAAAGAAAAAACGAACGCTTGATGTGGGGGAGGAGGGGAATGCAATTCTCCACCAGGGAAATCAAGAGGAGAAATTTCCTCTGGGAAATGTTGATGAAATGTTGATGCTTGTCTGCTTTTACAACGGTGGCTCTGTGCCAGCATTTTGGCTAAACCACAGTAGCTTAACACCCTCCTGTGACTAACTCACTGTGGGGTAGGTGCTCTGTCAGGAGTTCAACGCACATGTGCAGTGAGGAGCATGGGGCCTTCGAACCCAGCTTGACAGCCGCTCATCTGAGCAGGTTCATGTGGTTGATTCCCCACAAGAAGCATTTGAGCCAAGAATGCTCTGAGCTCCCACGCTTCAAGGGAGGTTTCAAAAATGTGACCTTTTGTGTTCCAGTTTAGGACAAAGCCAAATGGAGTTTCAAATGGGATTAAACAGCGATTCTTCAGCTGTCACCCATGGCCCACCTTAAAGTCTGGTAAAGCAAGCTGGGTAGTACAGATACACAGGCCCTAGAGACAGTTGAAGGCTGAGCCAAAATATTTTGCCAGGACTGCAATAGAAATGGCCAGGATAGATTGTTCTTCTGTCATCAGCTCTGCCTTAAAGAAAGCACTGCTATTTTAAATGTAGGGTGAAAAACTGCATTTGAAAGATACAGCAGTTCAATACATTGGCTACGGACAGCAGCAATAGCTCTGACTTCGCCTTACGCAGAGTGTCTCCACCTTGCAGAGCACAGCAGCAATAAGGTGCATTTAATCACCATCTGTGTGCATGCCTCCACGAGAAAGGTCTTGCCTGGGACTCTGTGCTGACTGCAGTCCCTGGTTAAGGTGGAAAGCATCTCATTGCATTGTTGGGAACTATGGTAAGGCAATAGGAGCATGGGGAAGTGAGAAGCAAGTGCTAAACTTTGGGATGGAAGAGCATAGGAGTCATCACTGGCTTGCTTAGAAAGGTGTGGGATCAAGTATCAGCATCCCACCTTGTTCTCTGTGTCACAGGGCTGCTGCTGGGCAGTAGGTGAAGACTGAGCTTTTCCACCTAGTTTCCCTGTAGTTCTTCCCAGCTGTTTTTCTGTTGACTGTGGACATTGCAAAGATTGACAAGAGGCTTTGCAGCACTGAGTTATTCCTAAATGACTGCAAAAGGTGTTCCCTGTAGCTCAGAGGAGGTACATAACACATACAGCTGGATTATTTTGCCTTAGTAGAAATCATACCTCTGGGTCATAACAGATAAACCAGACTTGATCCAGTGGGCAAACAGAAGGCTCACAGCATCACCCCACTCACATTCCACTTGGAGGTTTGAATAGAAATGAAGTTCTGACTACAAATACCCTTTTTCATGGGAAATAAACTATGCTTCCTTATGGAGGATTAACATAAAGCTGAAGCTCTACTGATTTCCCTTAAAAATTCCTTAGGAAGACCAGTTGCAGCCAGCTCTTGAAACTAACTTCACTTACAGCATCTTATAAAATTATGTGATAGATGAGGAACATGTGTCTCTTTTGCCTGTTTTATTCTGACCTACTTTAGCTCCCTTCTTTGACAAAGCCTGTCTTTTGCAGTATGCCTTAGCTTGATGTAAGGGCTCCTTCTCAAATCTACATTGTTTCCACTCTAGTTAAGCGTGGAGAAAATATTGCTCAACACAGCCTAAAAAATGAGCATAAGAAAAGTCTCATCTGGATAATTTTTGATTGATTGGGTTTTTTTTCTTTCCTTTTTTTTTCCTAATTAATTGAGTTAAAGTAGTCACAAATTGTACAAACCCTTGTGGAAAAATGCAGCCAGCATTAAATGTGATAGTTAGGGAACACCCATTACAGGGCTGATGACTGCAATGGTAAAAACCTGGCAGAAGCCAACACCAGCTTGTTGTTGGTATTTGTTGGTATTGTTGATACATCTGTACTTCTAGGCAGTAAGAATTAGCTTCCCCGTTCCTTCCTCATGGCATCTGTCTCACACTAACTGTAAAATGAGGATGCTGTGTGGCAAAAGGTAAGGCAAAAGGTACTTTGGGGGCTCTGGTGTCCAAGGCTGAGAACAAAATACCATGACAAGATGAATCCACTGAGTCATCTGTCTTGGGAACAGTGTGTGCTTCTGGAAATCGTTATAGCTGTTAATTTCCCAGGACAACCCTTTGGAGCAGTTCGTTTTCCCTGACATGAAGCATTCGCTGTAAGTTTAGGCAAGAGATTAATTGCTTGCATTTCTGATCAGAAGGGTCAGAGGGATGACTTGGACAACCAGCCTTTGGCCCTGCAGTCTGGATGCATGGGCAGCATAGCAAAGATGGTGATCATCTCACTGTTTGGGAGCAGATGAAGCAGCTTGGCGAGGTCACTGGTACATTAGTCCCTGTAGCATCTTCCCAGCTTCCTGGCAGGCAGTATTTACCTGGTGTTGAGAAATGAGTGTTCTACCCCATGCACCCTTTCTGACAACCAGATAAAGAACTGAAACATGAAGCTGCCAGCAGCAGTTTCTGGTGGGCTCCAACTGTACCTCTGAGAGCAAGTGTCCATCTTTGGGGCCTCAGCATCTGACTTCAAGCAGGGATTGCCCAAAGCTGAGCTCCTGCTAAGAGAGCATGGGTAACCTTCAGGGCTTTCTGCACCAAGGAGGTCTTTAGCAGGAAGGAAATGAAGGGAAAAACAAAACTCAGGCTTTTAGAGCAGATGAAAACCGCCTCTCTGATCCGAGAGCCAGGATTAGCTGTACCCGTGTACAGAATAGGAGGAAGAAGCAATCATTTCCTCAGGCCTCTTTGTGCTTGTTAAATAATGAATGTCTCTCTAGGTCTATAAGACTAGTTTAAGCTTGAGCACCTGGAAAGCTTTAGGTTGCATATAGGCCAAAGAAAACATGGGTTTGCTATTAAAAGCAATCTCATTTTATCTCGTCATCTTACCTACGCGTTTCTTGCAGCCCATGCTAATGTTTGCAAAGGTGAGTTTCTTTTTCTTTCCCTTTTCCTCACATGGAATTATTTAGTTGGCCACAGGTAACAGAAGGTCTCTGGAGAACACCTGACCTCACTAGAGAGAAATGTCCTGCTCTGGGTACAGAAGGTAAAAAATCTCATTTAGCTTATTGCAACTTGTGGTCACCCTCTGGAACAGCAATACCAGTGCTGAGAGCAGTGATGTATGACTCTGTACAGACCTGGCTGGTGGAGTCATCAGGACCTGATACTGGCAATCCCCAGCAAAGTTTCTGAGCTGACCATAAGCAAGACAGGCGCCACTGTGGGATGGGAACTCTGTTATGAGGTGACAGGAAGGAAATCTCAACCTACCGCCAATAGCACAAGGGAAGAAACATACCTTTTCGTAATGAACTGAAGTAAGTGTGAGGCTGTGAATGACTCTATCCTTTTTTTCTTTTTTTTTTCCCCAGTGTTACTTCATAGAGCACCTGTAAAAGATAAGGTCTTCCACAGAGTTTGTTTCTCCTTAACTTCAGGAATTTATAATAGGGAAAGATGCCCCTGATCCAGTATGTCACTGGTTAATCAAAGGATATCCTGTCTGTAAATCTGCCCTTGTAAGAAGGTGTCCTACAAGTGGGTGAAGGCTGTTGGATGCTGTGCTGCTTTTAGTGCCCAGCTTTCACTAGTTGCACTTGTCCTTCACTGAGATGCTGATAACAAAGCCAGGGCTCTACTGACGGAGTCCTTACTTCAGTTAACCTGCTAGCATTTCATGCAAGGTGAATCATTTTTGCTTTTGGGGATTGCTTTTATCTATAGTTTAAGCATTAATAGTCTATTTAATATTGGTGAATTAGCAGTAGAACGAGGAAATAACTTGGTAAATTAACCCTTTCAAACTGAGGCGTCCAAAGTTATGTATACAGCGCAGCAACTTGGTTTCCAAATGCTTTGGAATGAATGTTGGCCTGGTTTCCATTAGCCTTTTTGTGTCTGACTATCCCTTGCCACCCAAATCTGGAAGCTGAAGCTGGACACTAGCCAGGGGTGAGGCAGGTGGAGCCAGCCCAGCAGCTAGGCTAAGGAAGGGAAGGAAGGGCCTCCAGGATACACCCTGGTTGATGCTGGAAGGGAGGAAGCCTGCAGCCTCTTCACAATGAGCACCATCTTGGGCAGGCTGTGCACAGGAGTGATGCTGTCTCTCCACAGTGACCTTGGGAGCTAGGTGTAGTGGTGAGGGAGGTGAAAGGCTGGAGTAATAACTGCTAATGCACTGCGAAGGGGCTTGGGCTCTGGAAACTGTTACCATTAGATTTTACTTGGTTTGGAGAAAATATTCCCATTCCATCTATGTTGCTGGTAACAGCTGGTCTATCCACAGGCTCTGTGGCAGGCTGTGTTTGCCAGCATCCTTCCCTTGCCTGTCTGCTCTTGCTCGTGTTTATGGTAGAAGAAGAAAGAGATGTTAGGAGAGATACAGCCTTTAAAAGACACATGTCTCCAGGTCTCTTACTCCCATGCCTCTGATGGGAATATTTTTCCAGGCTTTTCAGGTGTGCAGCTGTTGTAGATAGCCCTTGGTACCCTAGCTGTTAATTTAGAGAGCTAATAGAGCTGCTCTCTTTCCTCAGCCCCTGGAAAGCTGGCACAAAGGGCTCTCAGCGCAGCACTGGGAAGAAGCTATTTTTACTTTGACTGTTGTTTTCTCCTGCAGCATTTCAGCTGGGAACAGGCTTGATCTGCTATCCCAAACAGAGAGGACCCATGGTTTTCCTGCATGGTTGATGGAAAGCAAAATCTGCATGGCATCCCTGGCAGGGCTGGGGGGAGCCACAGCAGCAGTCAGAAGAGGGAAACCCAGATTTCTCCACTGACTCCAAAACCAGAGCTAATTGCAGGAAAGGGCAAGGTGCGAATGGAAAGCATGCTGTGCTGCTGCACCCCAGCAAGCCCTGACATGCTGGGGTGGGAAAGGCTCCTAGACAGGAGCCCAGCATCACCCTCAGGTCTGCTGCTCAGTGGAGCACTCACAGCTCCCTGGTGACCAGCTGGGAGAGGCTAAGGAACTCTGATTCGGCAGCCTTCCCATGCTTCATCAGGCAAAGTCTGTGTCTTGGGAATGGCTGTTGTGCGGAGTTATTGCAGGGCTTAGGAGTGTTTGCTGTGGCTTGTGCTCCCTGCTGTGCCTGCTGCTGTCAATGATGAATAAAGTGGGATGATTCCTGCTCTCAAAACAGTGAACCTTTGCGGGTTAAGTGATTAATGGAGCTGTTCCTACTTTTATTCCTACAAGGTCAAACCATTTGTTTTCCTGGGATATGCTAATATAATCTATTTTTTTATTCTTTTTCAGCCGTCTCTTTAAAAAAAAATCATTCTTGGAGGTTTGTTTGAGGAAGCGTTGCAGATATGCTTCTACGTGACAAATTTATGCATACCATCACTGATCTGAATTCAGCCCTGAACTACAGTAATAACTGATAGGTTGCAATGTTTATAAACATGGCTTTGAGGTTTAAATTTAAGAGACAGGCATAGGAAATAGATCTTATCACAACACACTGTAGCCAAGTACTATCCCAATAAAGACAAATAAGGAAAACAAATTTTATATCTGGACATTAACATTCTCCCAGATGTTGGGTACCATCTGCCAGAAATTTTTAGCTCTAAAGTAAGCTGCTTTGTAGTGCCTATAAAACAGGTGATTTCTTCCCCTCTTCCTCCCCTGCCACTTTTACAAAGAAAGGATATAGATAATAGTAACTCAGGGTGAAAACTTTCTGTTGGTGTATGTGGAAAACAGCATGGCACATTCAGGGGGACTTGGCTGCATGTGCACCACCAAGCTGAGCACTGAGAGGACTAAGTTGAATCCACTCTAGCAGTGAGCAGAAGTAGAGCCTCAGTTCCAGCTTCCCATCACAGGTGCAATGGAAGGTGGTGCTGCAGCCAGGGAGGAATCTGCTGCTCCACTGTCATTCCCACCTCTGGGCTACCCCAACCATCAGCACTGCTGGGAAGGAGTTTTGTAGGTGAGGAGGTTTTTATCTTCTAGGGCATTCATTTTATCTTCTAGGGCATTCATGTTTGGGATGCTCCCAGTTTACTCTGGCTGGCAGCTTTATGCTGCTGACTTTTATTATCATTTTGAAGAGACCCATACAGGTGTTACAAGTGTTTACAAACAGTTCACAAGTGCTACTTCCAGATACTTGATGTCTCAATTTTGACCTTACAGCTATGTGCTAGCTATATCAACAGCATATTTTGATTCCCTGGAACTCAAATTTTTACTGGAAAGAAGTTGATATTTACTGAAATATTGAAAAGTGTTGTCTAGTTTTGTTTCCATTCTGGATCCCAGGGATTCCACATAAAGATGAGATTTATTACAGGCTTGAATGCTCAGTTGTGTGCATTATTTCCATTGGATTGGAAGCAGATTGAAAACCGGAGAACTGGGCATTCACATGGTCCAAGAAATGAAAGGTACAACTAGCACTGAGATTTTTTTTTTTTTTCCCTCCTCTGAGTTATGCTGACAGCAGCCATACCATTAAGGCTGAGAAGTTTATTTACTATTAAAAAGCCATATTTTCCCTTCTTATCCCAGCTTTTCTTGGCTTTCCTTGCTTGGCAGTATCCCCTTAACCACCAACACCCAGAGGCGTGGTATTAAACTGGGGTGAAAAATGAACATGCAGAAGAATACTGGAGATTTAAGTGGGTACGATTCTAAGAAAACTGGTGGAAAATATGTTTACTCCAAGCATCTGTAGCACCTAATTGAGGCAGTGATATTTTCTGTGAGAACGTGGGGAATGCTTTTCTGCTTTCTCTTTGGCTTTGAATTTCACTTTGAATCGATGTGACATAATCCATGGCATTATTTTCTCACAGCTGCAATGGAAACTTTCTGCCAATAGACAAGGATGTGTTAATCGGGGTGAAAAAGCTGACATTCAGTCCAGCTTTGTTGCTTTCTGAGGTCTTTGTTAGGATCTCTAGCTTCCTCCTAATTTATAGAAATCTGGTATACAGTAAACACCATTATTTTTGAACTATTAGTGTTGCTATAAATTTGAATGGCTAGAAAAGTGTGGCAGATTGTGATCAAAAGGGAGGTGATCTACAGCTGTGTGTGAAATCATCGCCGATATTAAATGTGACAAAATGAAACACATATTTATGTGCCCATAAAGGATGATGTAGCACTCCTGGGCCTGCAGTATTGGCATCATCAAACGAATTTCTGGGAATCTAATTTAGAGGAACATAAAAGAACCCATACCACCTCTAGGGCATCCACCAGTGCTGCTGGTTGGTAGGTTGTTGTCTATTCATATCGCTAATTTCTCAGGCATTGCTAATTTGAAGTCTGGGGTACCCTCCTGTGGACATGCAAGACTGGGGAGGGTGCGCAGTCCTGCTGGAATAGGGGACTGGCTACGGATGGCCAGCAGTGCCACCTGGCCAAGGGAAAGCTCCTGGCACAGAGGTCTTCCTCTGGAAGAGGTAATGGACTGCGAGTAGGTCCTTCATGGGGAGCTGACAGAGTGCTGCACACTGCTCCCTGGCATTGCCTTGCTAATGCTATGCGTGTACCAGAGTCTTAATTAAATACAGCTAAGTCCTGGTCAGCAGTTTTAGCTCATTAAGGTCCATTACTGGTCTCGTGGTTCTCCAGTGCTGTTTCGAAATAAATAAATAAAAGGCACTCTATATGTCTGATGGGAACACATGGGCAGGGAATAACCTTTCCTGAATCCCTCTCTCCTCCTTTTTTGAGGCAGTGGGGTCCTGCAGCAGCTATCTCTTCTAAAAGCTACCCATTTAAGCATCCAAATCTTTTTCACTGCATTAATCTGTATTTATACAGGTCACTTATCTTCCCAGGGACACATCACAAAATGTGGGCAGTAAACAAGCCCAAAGTGCATTCGCATTGCCCAGGGAGCCACAACAGTCTCAAACAGGTAGGGACTCCTCCAGCCTCTCACCTCACTGTAGCTGCACAGCCAGGTGGGCACATCCGCTGCTCACTGCTTTCATCATCCTTTCACTCTTTTCTCTAACCACCTGAAGACAAGCTGCTCCTGCCAGAGCTGTCCAGGGAACAGCCTGGTCCTTCACTTGAACCATGCCTGTAATTACCAGGTAGGGTCAACCCTGCAGTGCTGCCCACTGTGCCAGCAGTGACGGCCCCAGCCACTCAACAAAAGAGGGAAAAAGGTTTCCCACACCTTGCTGGTCACTCTGGCTTTCCATTTCCTTGTCTTTTGTCTCATGTGCTTAAACAGGAGCTGTTTCAAAAATGTACTTTTTTTTTCTGTCCCAAAATACAGATTTAAATTTTTTCAGAGAGCTTTGAAGATCTAAATCAAACAAGATAAATTATAAAGCTCTTCTAATCCGCATCACAGCCCTGGTTTGTGCCATATGGAGGCGCAGAGGAACAGACTGGAGATGAAAGCGAGATGGGGTGGGTGATGCACTAAATGGTCACACTAGTGCAGATAAGCCCAAATTGGGAGACTTAATGGGCAGTCATGGCCATCACAACAGGGCATGACAGTGCTATCAGGGTGGCTGGAAAAGACTAGATTTTCTCATTTAACCAACTTGTGTTTTGAAGATTAACAATGAACAGAAGAGGCTACTGGTGCAAGTGCTTGAGAGACAGCGACTTCTACCTGCAAAACGGTTATCAAAAGCCCTAACTGAAAACAGCAGTGCAGTGTTCAGGCTGCATGAGCAGCGCCAGCAATAGGCTTTGAGTAGAGGTAGTGTCATGAGCGTACCTGTGGGGAAAACGGTCAGAGTAGACACAGCCCCAGGTGCACAACAGCAATGTAATACCCATCTCATTACAGGGACTAGTTTCCAAACGTTTGCTCAGTGAACCATTGAAAGAAAAGCTAATGTCACTTCTTGGACAAATTTTTTCTACTCTTCTTTTGGCCGGCTGTCAGCCTGAGAGGTAGGCTCTGTCTTTGGTATGGGGTACCATGCCAATGAGGAGGTGGCTTCACAGCTGGCTTACAGCATTTCGTGCAGCAGGGAATGCTTTAGGGATTTGCTTTGTCTGTCAGAGCTGCATGTTGTGAAGGGAGGAGGCTGGCTCCCCATCTCTGCCAGTGTCACTGCAAAGCATTTTGTTGTGGGGTAACTTTTGGCCTGGTGAGAGAGGGCTCTGACCTGCTGAATAGCCATGTGGTTGAAAGCCCCAGGACAGAGCAGCTCAGGAGGGTACAGACCACAGCGGGGACGGGAAGAGGACTCCTGCTCACCTAAGGATCGATTGTCACACTTCCCATCATGAAGGGCAGGGCTTTATTTCAGATTTAGCTCCTGGGCATCAGCATGGCTCTTTAAGGCACTGGGAGCAGGGTGGTGCAGAATTCAGCTCCACAGACTCTGTTGGTGTGCACAAAGAGCAGTTGAGGGGGAAGGACTGTGGTATCTATCACAAAGCAAAAGCAGAGGTGAAAAGAAAGTCCTTGATTTAAAGAAGACTGTTCAGACTTTGTCTCCAGCTTCCCACACGTTCAGTCCCTTCTCAGTCTTAAAAACTCTTCAAACCCTGCCTCACTCTGAGTGCAGAAAGGGCCTTGATTCTACCACTCTTTTCCACCTCTCAGTCCTGTTGCGTAGTTCAGGTTTGGTTTCGTTGTGGTTACTTTGTTCTCAGCAAGATTAATCAAAGTGTAAACTGATGGGCTCAGAAGGGCAGAGCTCTTCCCTGCCTTCCACCTGTGCCTGCAGTGGAGACCTGTGCCTCTACCTTACAGGGCTGGCTGCTGGGAAGCTCCTGTTTGGTGACAGCTCTTTGGGGCAGCTGGACTTTCACAGCTCTGTAGATATCCAAACACTGACAGGGGTTTCTAAAAATGGTTTTGAAAGTGTGTTTTTGCTATTGCAAGTACCATCAGCCCTCGCTGGGACCTCTGAGTTGGGCTGCAAAGAGAGTCCACAACGTCAGGCACTAAAATAGAGAATATTTATGTAAGGAAGTAAACCATTATAATTCCTTCTCTTTTCTGGTAAGTGTAAATTAATGGCAGCTCAGTGCTGTGCTGAAATAAGTGGGGTGAGACTGTGGGAGAGCTATTTTTAGGCAAAAATATGCAACACTTTAATTGTCACCCACTCATTTGCTTTTTAATGTGAACAAGGCTTCAGCAGGCTCCACAGAGCACATACCCACTACTCACACCAGCCATGCTCTGGAGCGACCTCATCCAGGGACCTCCAGTGTGTCCACAGGCAGGTTTTTAAAAGGTACAAGATGTCTGCTCAAGGAGACAAATTCCACTTCCTGCATCTCTGACTGGGAAAAGAACTCTATGCTTTCCAGTAGTGGTAAGTTAGCAAAGGAAATCTGGGACCCCCCCTGGTTTCCCACAGGACATTAATGGTTGCTAATCACCTCATCAGCTTCTGTGGTGAGGATGTGCACACAGAGAACGGCAATCCCGTGTTGTAATGGAAGGTGGTCAAGCTTTGGGTATTTTCTTCCCCATGTCATGATGGATTTTGGAAGGGGAAGGAGGGCTGCTCTGTGTGCGAGGGGTTTTCAGAATCCTCTTGGTGGCCTAATCCTGCTGCCACTGGTCTCAGCTGCAGAAGAGTCTGAGCACTGCTAGGGATTTCTGGAAGTTAGGTCCAAACACCTAAGTGATAATCCTGCATGGAGAGGGGCTGGACACCCTGGTGGTGATGAGTGATGATATTAGCCAAATAACTCTTGAAAACCACCTCTTGCTCTCTGTGTTCCTTCATATCAATGTGCAGATTTAGTTTGAGTTTTCCTTGCAATTTGCTACCAGGGAAAAGGAATAATGATCCTCTCCATTGGTAGTGGAGTTTGAACACCATCCTTAACAACGCACAGAGGCCTGCATCCCTGGAGCTGTACTTAGTCCTGGGACCTTCCCACACAATAATGCAGAATAATAACCCAACACTAACAAGCTCTGTGTGTTCAGTCAGGATCAGACCTGCCGTCCTCCTTCCAATGAAATCACTGCTCATCTGCTAGTGTTGTTTTTCCAAGTGTATGCTATTGCTATCTATTTGAGCAAGTCTTCATTTTGTTTCAAGCTTTCTTCTGAACTATCCAATGAAGCCAAAGAAAGGCAAAGCCAGGACAACAAAGCAGAGATGAATGCGTTTAAACTGGAAAAATAAACTAAATAAATAAATAAATAAGACAAGACCCATGGTTCTCTTTAATTTGCAGTTTATCTGCAATTTAAAAGAGTAAACACAACCATGCTGAAGGTGCATAAACACAGCTTGGAGAGCCATTGAAATCTAGGTCAGGGTTTCAGCTCTGCCTGGGGATCTCATTATGTGAATCAGGGAGACTCTGTGCTGCTCCATGAGCCAGGTGAAGAATACTTCTTCAAGGGAATAATGAAACCAGCTAGGTTTCTGCACAATCAACAGCAGCTCCGCTGCAGACTGATAAGCAGGGCACATAAGCCATTGCTGCACTGAGATTGCTAAATTATTACCGAATCACACCGTGCAGCAGCGGCTAAGGAAGTCTGCCCTTTACTCTCTAGCGGCTTTGGTCTACAATTGTGTTCCAAGGAGAACCTAAAGCATTTGCCAGCAGTAACCAAATTGCCTTCCAGGTGCTTGGAGAAAAGTATAGAGCTGTCAATCTGACAGTTGTTAACAAGGTTGAAGTTTTTTGGGAGGGGGGAGATTGGGGAGGAGGAAGCTTGCACTGACCCAAGTTCATTTGATTTGCAATCTGAGCATATGACTTTTGCAGAGCATGAATCTCTTCTGTATTTGAGACCCAGTCTGTGTTTGTATTTAAAGCTAGTCTTCCAAGCAAAACATGTGAAAAGAGAACATTCAAACAGGAAGGGTTTGCTATTTTTTTTTCCCTCATAAATTTCTGTAGGTCTTGTTGCTGCTAATTACTGGAGATCTCAGCACAAGAGCTTTCCTTTCTAGCAAACCAGCTTCTCATGTTTCCTGCCCTTCAGTTAATCAGTTATAATCTCCTGCTCTGTTTGTTTGTTTGACTTTTAAAAAGCTAATTGACTGTTTGTGACATGAGTTGGCCTGAGACTGCAAAAGCAAATTTTGCTTGTACCCGCAGAGCAGACGGAGGGTGGGCTCTGGCCATGCCCACAGCTTGCTGCTGTGTCCTCTGGATGTTCCGTTCCTGACAGCCACTGGCCACCGGCCACCGACGTGCATGGGGGGTGGGTTCAGCCCAGCCTGCTGGCTCTGCCCTGCCGTGCCTGCCCATGCACCTTCCAAGGAGGCTGTTTCCCCAGGAGGTGGTTGGTCACTGGGGCTGGCTGGCAG